AAAAGAAAGAGAGGGGGAAATACGAATAAAAATAAAAGATGAATAGGAGGAAACGTGGGAAGAAAAATACAGAAAAAGAACATAAGCAATAATTTGTTCATTCTAATTGTATTTGGAGAAGCGTACAATTTATGAAGCTCCTCATTATGCAGTTTTCTCAAACTCCCCGTCACTTCATCTCTCTTTGGTCCAAATATTCTCCTCAACACCTCGTTCTCAAACACCCTCAGCCTATAATATTCTATATGCATTCCTCTTCTCCCCCATTCGTGCTACCTTCATGACATAAAATATATTCACAAATTTGGAAGTTAATGTAAAAATTAGAAACTAAATTTCCTGCGGCAAGGAACAACATAGGAAATTTAATTTCTAATTTTTAGATTAACTTCCAAATTGACATAAGGCTGTCCGGAAAAGAGTAGGCTGTTTGACTATAATTTTCATATCATTTCGGAATCATTTCAATAATATATCGATTAATACAGATACCTTATGCTATTAGGCGCTAGAAAGAATGCCGGTCTAGAAACGTACATATGAATTAATAAGCATACATTCACTTCTCGCAACCAGAATTCGACAAAAATTCCCATTATAAAGGCAGATATTAAATCCATTGGAAGTGTTGCAAATTTAAATATCTTGAGCAACACCAGACAAATACATTTTGCTTTCACACGAACGGTAACGTCAGGTTACTTGCAGGGTATGCTTATTGCTATTCCGTTAAAATGTTTGTCATCATCTGCGATTAAAATTTAAATATGAAAACCTAGAAACTAATATCAACAAATATAAAGTCACGTGTTCTGTACGGGTGTGAAGCTTGGACTCTCACCGTGTGAGAAGAACATAGACAGAGATGTCGGGAACAGGATGCAGAAGAAAATATTTTGAAACGAAGAGATAGCAAATAATGGAGAAAACTACATAGTGAGTAGTTTCATACATTTACTCTCTGCCAAAATACAATAGATACAAGGGGGATGAAACGGATCTGACATGCAACATGCTTGAGAATAATAGATAACGTTATATGAATTTATTCGCAAAACATAAAAAATTCCAATATGTAGGTATGAGTATGATAAATAGGTAGGTTTTACCGGGTTACGAGAAAGTAGACTCAATTCAGCTGGCTTAGGACAAGTTTCTAGAAAACACAGTAATATACTCGTAGTATTTAATTGCAGTTAATTTAATGACGTCAGCGACTCGTGTTATGTAGCGTCGAGAACAAAATAACGAACCGTTAGGTGCCATAATTTTTTGTGAATTTCTTGAGATTCGCTAGTAACGAAAATATTATCCATTCCTGATGTCCTGTTTTAAGGAAATTTTAACGAAGTACCAGTGAAATAAAATATAATAACAAGTTATTTATTAGCTCTGTTAACAAAAGAACAGTATTTTTCCCGACATTGCGATATTTTGTCAGTCATTTATACCACATGAATTGAGCACAAACCGAAAAAGGCTAAAAAAGTTAAAATGATAATTCGTGTACTATTTGGTGATCTCACAACGGTGGTGAAGAAAAGTTCTATATTCTGGGACATAACATTTTGTATTCCATTGAAAGTCAATCCATGTTTCCTCCGAAAAGTCATTTGACTTTCAAAGGAGTACATAGCCTGGTATGCCAGAAGATACTGTAGAATTCTATATATTGATGCATATCTGCAGCATCAAGTCGACAGAATAATAAAAACTGGAAGATAATGAAACCGATCACAGTGACCGTGCGGTTTAAGCCATGAAAAGTATCCCCCTTCAAGCACTGGGATCGTGGACGCGAACCTGAGTAGAGGCGTGAATAAACACGATTCGTCAGTGTTACAGTTGCCCTGTGTAGGTAGCTTCGTCCCAACCGTCGGCAAGATCAATAGTTTCATATTAATTCTGAAGGGAAACAGGTCAAATGACCTAATAGGAAAGGCAGGGGAAGATAATAAATTTCAAATATATTTTTATTTTATTAGAGTGTGCATTTGCAGTCTAGTTAACATTCAGTTTGTTAGAACGTCACTGATAATCCTGTCACTCCTGTCACAAATATTGTGTTTATGGACATTATCCCTCCTCCTGTCTTTATCTAAAGACACCGTCCTGTTCATGTTCCAGAACACAACGTTTCGGATACCGGATTCTGCTCCGTCTTCAGATAAAACGTACTCAGTTGGGTCCAATCCTAGTACCTATCTCTGGAGACAGGGACTAGCTCTATTGATTGGGCCTAACTGAGTAGGGTTTACTGAAGACGGAGACAGAATTAAGTCTCCAAAATGTCCTATTTCGAAAAATAAACAGGACTGTATTTGTAGATATAAACAGGACAATGGATAATGTCCAGGAAAATAATATTTGGATTAATGAACCATCTTCATGCATATTCAAATCTTATTGCTATAGCAAGTGTCACGTAACTTCGAACAAAGCCAAGAGTAACCTTGAATGCGCAGAAGAAAAATTTCAGACAAGGGGGTGGAGGGTGTGAGAAGTGACAGGCGGCCAGTGGAAGAACGAGTGTTAAGAAACTACTCCCACCCCAAGTTATGAGCGGGATTTGACTAGGAATGCGGGGCTTTGTTCGACGTTACGTGACACTGTCTATACTCCTCTTTGTCAACAAGATTTCAGTATTAGAGATTTTGTATATATTAATATATGTAGCTTTCATTTCATGAAATTACGCTGCTGGTTTCATAGAGACCGCACATTGCATACTAGCAGTGTATACAGTAACAGATAATGGTTGGGGTACAATTGGCAAACAATGGTCAGCAACTGGAAGGACGTCTGGTTAACCTCTCGTATGTGTTGCCCAAATAACATAGGGCAGGTCATGAGCATTGATCTGATTTATACTAGACTGAAACGGCGGTTGTCCTATATCTACCAATACTGCGCTAAATCTATTCGTGGCATGAATTAAGCCACTTGTCCTTGTCCTATCCGCAATACGCCCTGTCCACATCCAAACAGATTGAATAATCAGTGAACCACATAGCAGCACTCCAAAATTTTACACTGAAATAGGAAGGCGGATTAGCTTTAGGAGTCTGTGTCAATATTTGTTGAACAGTGATATCTGTATAGGCTTTAGGTTTGGATTAATCAAATCAATCCTACATTGACCCTTGAGTAATACGTATTACAATTATATGAATAAGACCATTTTCTTCCACATCCCTTCTGTTTCGTCTTCCCATCATGGGTCATTAGACGTAATGTAACCTCAGATTAAGGTAGACTTACATCAGGTCTACCGTAAAATAGAACAACAAATGAAGAACGATATCTCACTTTGCTTTCCGCTATTTTGCCGTCTATGTGCAACGTTGTTTAATATTCTCTCGTGACAATAAAGCGAAAATGAACAGAGAATAACAACCGATGTTTCACGTAGACGGGAAAATAAGGGGAACACAAGGTCAGATCTACGGAATAAAACAGGATTCCGCAATTTTATAATAATATGACGTATCAACCCATTGTTGGGCAACGGCTCGATAAACGTGTTCCCGTGGAGACAGATTCTTGGTGAATAATTCATTGCTGGGTATCGGACTAATAAACACGCGGCTATAAAAATACGCTACAAAAATGAAAGGGGTTTTCTATGTGGTCTGTTCCGAGACTGCATGGTAACATGCCTCTACAGCAATGGTGGGACTGTGTTTTCTACGCTGCGTGGTCCGTGCCGCGAACTTATAAGGGAGAGAGTATGAAGGGGTAGTTAGTTTGAACATGTTTTGCTGTATAGGATAAGGTGAAGCCAGACAGAGAAAATATAAGAGGCTTAAACTTGGCGGTGGTCAAGCTTACAACCGTTTAAATGACTAAGCTGCCGTTGTATCATAAAATATGTAAGTTAGGCATGATCTGCTCTGTAAAGCCCGTACTGACAGAGGACTTATAGTGCAAAAGAGAGAATTTTCAATAACATGTTATATGTGCGAGAAGTACGCTTGAAGAAAGACCAATCATTTTCATAAGAGACAAACCCATCTTCTTGTCAGAGAAGATGTTACATAGGGACTATTACCTCAGTAGTTCAGTTGGAAAATACCTCTGGTCTTGGGCCTCAAGGGGCCTGACCCCAAGATGAATTGATTGGCGGTAAACCGTCAGTCGTAAAGTAACTTTAACTTTGACTTTAGGTAGTCAGTTGTTGGTAGAAGATAACAACGGGAAGTTAGTAGTTAAAGAAGAATTAGAAGTCGGCCTATGAAGTCTTAGTGTATGATCGGAGGATTTAGTCATTATGAGATTGTTTTAATTCCGTTGCCAGGATAGACTAATGAAGTCTGGGAATCCTAGCACGTGTGTAACGGTGAACTGTAAACCATGTAAATCAGCGATGGCGTTGTATTGCTTGTAAGTACGAGTGACCGTACAAGAAGACGGTAATAAATCCAATCATCCAACCAAGAAACCAATATTTTTAGCCACGGAACCCCTAACACGTGAAAATATGAAAAACGACATCCCCCTAGTAGTTGTTTGTGTATAATGTGAAGTTAACCTACCTTCTATGTTCTTCGCACAAAGTGAAAATGATAGTACAAGCGAACGCATAATGAAAAGCTCGTTTGTCAGTCTGTCTTCCCGTACGTTCCATTTCCTACACTGCTGGAAAAAAAATCGATTATATTTAAATTTACGGTCTACGCTAAAGTTTATACAGAATTTAATTTTGGTTTGCATGTTCACAATCTGTTTCTGTAAGATCTATTTTAATATTAGCCATCTATGTCCAGCTCCCTGACGTAACCTTGGTTTTGCAACGAACTTCTGAGGTTGTCATTTCTCACCTCCCCTTCGCTGTTACAGATTTTGTCTTTTTATCTACGAATACATTGATGTAAGACTATAAAATGTTGGGTAAAGATTAAAATGTGAAGAATTTATTTGTTATTTTGCCCATCCTGCTGCTGTATCCCCTCGCTTACTTCCAATTATTAGTTATGACATCAACTCCTGTCCATTTCTAGGAACCCTTGGGGCTTTTCAACTGCGGTCCGATCAATGGGACTTCTCTCCGGGCGGTAGTCATTGAATCGGTAACCTGCCACTGAGAGACAGACCAGCTCCACCCTCCGGTTTACACTTCTAGCAAACAAGAGAGGCTTTAGCGGCGTTACATCTTAGCTCTTCACTGCTGTCGTAACAAGTCCTTCAGAGAAATTAACCCATTACAACCCACAGGTAAATATGCGTACCACTTGCTTTAACATTCCACTTGCAAAGTGTACTCAGAAAGGTTTGTATGATTCTGAAAATAAACAGTATTTGTTTCCCTAAATATTATTAATGTACCGAACCTTATGAACGACATGCATTGCGTTTACTTGAAGTATGAAATGAAATTAAAAATATTTAGATAATTTTCTCGGTTCCACCAATTCACAGATAATTATAAATTCCTAACCATATTCATGCCGGTCACGGTAGCCGAGCGGTCTAAGGCATGCACTGTCTTCGCTCGCCGGGAAGCCGGGATCGTGGGTTCGAATCCCACTCAGGGCATGGATGTTTGTGTTCGTTTTTCTGTGTTTGTGTACAGGTAGAGGCTTTGCGACGAGCTGATCACCCGCCCAAGGAGTCCTACCGAATGTGTAAGATCTAGAAAAACCGAAGTGAACGGAGTTCATGGAGGTAGGGCTAGGCCCACTGGGGCTGTAGTGCCATTGAAAAAAAAAACATATTCATAGGCCGGTCACGGTAGCCGAGCGGTCTAAGGCATGTTCTGTCTTCGCTCGCTTGGAAACCGGGATCGTGGGTTCGAATCCCACTCAGGGCATGGATGTTTAGTTTGTGTGTGCGCGTTTTTCTCTGTTTGTGTACAGGTAGAGGCCTTGAGACCAGCTGATCACCCGCCCAAGGATTCCTACCGAATGTGTAAGATCTAGAAAAACCGAAGTGAACGGAGAAGTTCATGGAGGTAGGCCTAGGTCCACTGGGACTATAGTGCCAAGGGGGGGAAAAATATTCATAACATCGAACCACTGTATCCCATCCCCGTAAATTCAAACCAATACGGTAAGTTGGGGCTATGAAGCCACAGAAATTAAAATCAGCTGGTACACTATACTCAGTGGTTGATGACACTGTTATCAAGGGTGACATTTCCCAAATAGTATACATATATTCTCCTGAAATCCAGTGGTGAATAGGACAGCCACTAATTAGGGAAGCTGAACAGGTTTTGTTGTTGCCATATGTTAATACGGTTTGGCCATCTTTTGACGTCTTGGTATTATCCTGAAAAATTATTCTACAACGGAGAAATTTTCGTGGCGCTTTGGGAAGGTCTGTTGCATGCCCGAAATTTCTGCCTTCTCGGAAAGCTTTCAGAGCTTTATTCATTTAATCTGCCTTCCACAACTATTCAATTGCATAACCGCAAAGTGGGACTGTTATTAGGAATTTCATTTCAAACATTTAAAATTTAAATTTTTCTAAAGCAGGCCAATTCACCCGACCTGGTTCATCGATATGTAACATGGTTTGGTACGACTGGAAGTTTACAAAAATTGATTTGGGCTGAGAATGTGTGACTACGTCTTGAGCTCAATAAGAAAATTCAAATTTCTACTATCCTGCTCTCAAAGTAAACTCGCATTGATTTTATTAACTTAAAAGAGATTTCAGTGAGAAAAAAAAAGACGGACGGAGAAAATGTAATTTCTAAGGAGCAGCTCCATGAGTTGTGTTCTTCGCCAGATTATTGGGTCCTGGGCTGATGAAAACAAGGAGATGTGACGGGAGGGCTACTCAACTGAGCAAGTGCGAAGGATGTAAGAAATGTACAGGGCATTTCAATCGATGACCTCTGAAGAAGGTACAATATTGGAGACATAGACGTTAATGAAATGATAATATTGTAACGGATTTGCTCAAATCATTTCTAGGAAGCGGCTCGTGAGCACGGTCAACGTGCAACAATGGAAAAATTGTCTCAATGGACGAATGCTATTGCGCATTGCTAGGGAATAGTGCACCGATGAAGACGCTGGGTAGGAATCACGCGACATGTTCTCTGTATGGTCCTCCTTATGCAACAATTGAAGAGTGTTTTCTGTGCGTGGTCCGTACGAAGACTATAAAACGAGAATAGCACAAGCAGTTCATTTCAGTTCTCGGCAGCAGACAGCCACGGAAAGTTCATAGAAGACCTGTGAAAACTTAACGTGTGAATTGAACACTTTGTGTGTTATAATTAGAGTGATCTTGAAAGTGTTACAATTATTTGTAGTTACAACCAGTGAAGATCCAATAAACCGATTCACCATTCCAAACCCGCGTCTTAGTCACTGTGATATACGTGACAATATTAAAGTGAACCTTAAACAAATAGGATCTGAGGGTTTGGAATGGATCAAAAGAAGTCAGAACAGGGTTCAATGGTGGGGCTTTCTGAACATAAGCGTGGACATTCCAGATTCATGATACTTGCGAATACGTGGGAAGACGGACTTACATGGCGGTTCCCTGATAATAATAAAATAACCCTGTGAGTTACAGATTCCCACTGCGGTAACCAAGAAGATAGCTGTTCATGGCATGTTAAACGCTGCCTCGTTTTTGATACTTGGATTACTTTCGGCCCTGAAGATGGAGTCAGAAGGATATGCCCTTCCGAAATATCTATAGAGTTCTACCAGAATACACAGCGTGACGTTCCAGCAGATAGTTCCCTTCAAAATAAACGCTGTTTTGTTACACAGAACTTGGCTACAAATGCAGAGATTTCTTTTAATTTGGTTGGCCGTATTGCGGCTCTCCGTTTTCACGGCGACCGGTGCATCGTTCGCCGTTAAGCACAAAGCCGTGGAACCGTCAACAAAGTAAAAATCCTCCCTGTATACCAAATAACATTTCCCCACTTTCTGTCTTGCTAATTTTCTTTACTTTGCGATCAATTTTGAAATAATTCTTTCTGTTTCGGCTAGAAATTATTATCGCTGCCAATCACTTTGTACTGAAATCTCACTCAAGAGATATAAACCAATATAATAAACCAATATATATAAACTCAATATAAACCAAAGTCAGATATACTGAACTGTATGCATGAGCTGGCTTGTGCGTTCTGCTCACGGGGTGCTGGAAAGTGTCACGTCCAATCTTTCTGTGGGATACATCTCCAAAACTACTAGAAGAACTTCCATCACAATTTGGTTCTTTGTACGAAAAGGTATTGGAACGACTACAATTTCTGACTATCACGTTTTTCTAAGCCAAAATTTACAGAAACTTATAATAAAATTTTATGAGTCGCTTCTCAAATATATGGTATATAACAAGCAGGATTGCTTAGTTTTGTTTTAGTTTCTTCAAAGCCGATATAAAAAACACAGCAATTTGGAAAATATGCGTATCTCTGCCAATTCTCAGATGAACGTGTGATGTAGTGTCTGAAGTTACTGAAACGGGCTTCCCGCTCTTTCACTTAAGGACAAAAGCCGATGTAGTTACAGAAACGCTGTGTTCTTTAGATTATCTGGCGACTGCAAAAGCTTAAAAACTTAGTAATCACGAAAATTACAAGATGTTCTCAAGCATTTTAATCACAAAAAATTATATCAGAGTATATACACACCCAGACTACGAGAAATTCCACTCCCCTTCTCATAAGAGCAAAAAATTTACCTCAACACTTCATCACAATTATTAACACGATACTTCCAGACCTCATGATATGGTGTCATATTTTATAGAACAGTTGTATTTATATTCCTGAACAACGTGACTGGATATATTTACACAGCTGGACAACGTGACTGGATGTATTTATATTGCTGAACAACGTGTTTTGATAAGATTTCCAGTTAATGATCACGATAGAGCAAAGTATCAAGAGAGATTGGTTTCAATTTAAACAAGAACCTACCGCAACAAAATACGAGAAATCGAAAATATGTTGCCCCCGGAGGTCACTTTATTCAAATATGCTGTCGTATCGGTCCTAATTGGTTACTTAGTTACCTACTCATGGAGCTGAACCCTTCTTCAGGGGTCGCCAATTCTGCAGCTACTCTAGAATTTCCGAACATTTTATGGAACACGAAGGTTCATTACGATGTTCACAAGAGCCCTCCACTCTTCCCTATCCTGAGCTAGATCAATCCAATCCATACGGTCGCATTCTATCTCTCTAAGATCCATTTTAATGTTGCCCACTCACCCACGTCTTGATCTTCCTAGTGGTCTCTTTCCTTTTCTTTTTCCAACCAATATACTCTTTGCATTCCTCTTCCCTGGCCACCTCATCCTCCTTGACTTGATCATTCTAATTATACTTGAAGAAGCATACAAGTTATGAAGCTCCTCATTATGCAGGTTTGTCAAACCTCAAACTTCAAGAAACTTCAGCACCCATGGAATCCTCAAATTCCAAACGATTTTATGTACGTGAGACGAATTCTCTTGCACCGTGAAAGTATCACACAAGACAGGTGTCTGAAGACAGATAGGACAGAAAATGATAAAGTACAGTCGTAATTTCGCAGTTGCCCAACAAGAAAATCTGCGATTTGCACAGGTATCCTAGTGCTCGGAGACTAACACGAGCGGAGCATATTGACAGAGTGAAGATGGAAGATACGTATATATATATGTGGAAAATATTATGGGGCATGATTTGGACTGCAGCCATTTGGAAAGACTGGACGGAACTGAAAGGACAACAACGAGATTGATATAGAAGATACAGGGAATGAACGCGGAAGATGACTGTACCTAGCTGAGGATCATGTCTAATGGTGGTCTTGGTGCTAGTGATGTTGAATCTTTGGGATTTTCTCTCGGAATCAGAGACTTTAATAGCTTCTCGGAGGAGCAAATGTAAGAATCAAGAACTTTCCTTGTTACTGTAAAAATGCAGGACAAATACACTACAGAGAACACGTCTCATCTTGATATTAAGTCTAATTAGATAAAAACATTTTTAAAATGTTCTCATAGAAGATTTGAAGAGAATGAGCATTTTGACTCTATATGGACACAATACTTGAAAGTAGATTCTCTCAGCCGGTTAGTCGCACGATACCCTCATGAGCGTGCAGTGATTAGAGCTTAGTGTTCCTTCAAACTACGAGTTCAAATTCATTTCTGCATACGAATCAATCGAAAAAGTTCATTAATAAGCACCAGATTCTTTCAGCTCTGATAGGTCATTTCATCGGTTAGTTCTGACATTACTTTCGTGCGGGAATTTTCTGCATTTTATTATAATTTTTTGAGTAATTACTGACATTTCGTATTATCCAATTTTGGTGCTTTGGCAGCGAAAAGTTAAAAGTAAAATGGAATATTGAGACACCAAAATACGTTTTGGTATCCGCCATGTATGAAAGATTAAGAAATTGATCTCTGTTTTGTTACCCGCAATGTTGAAAAAGGTTGAGATATTAAGTTATGTTTTGATATCCAGCATGTAGAAAAAGTTAAGAAACTGCTCCCTGTTTTGACATCTAACACGCAGAAAAGTTGAGATTCTAAGCTATTTTGGTATCCGGTATGCAGAAATGTTAAGAAATTGATCTCTGTTTTACTATCCGCCATATAGAAACAGGCTGAGATACTAAGCTGTATTTTGATATTCGGCGTACAGAAAAGTTAAGAACCGAACTACATATATAGGTGTCCGCCATCTATAAGAGTTTTAGATACTAAATTCTATGATGTTATCCGTAGTGTACACAATATTCAATTTATGACGCTGCGAACATCAAAGTATCTCGGCTACTGAGCTGGCTTTATCTGGGAAACTTACGGCAGAAAAACAGTGACAAATTATTTAAACCGTGCAGAAAATATTGACAAATATGTTATAATCATGGATGTGCCGTGCAGCAAATGTATAATTTGTACACTATTAATTTATCACAGACTGTTACAGTCTTTGAACTAATAGTAACCAAGTAACATAAAAATTAGAATACACGAAACTATAATTTTGCCTGTTGTTCTGTATGGGTGTGAAACTTGGTCTCTGACATTAAGGAAGGGACATATACTGAGGGTGATTGAGAACAGGGCGTTCAGGAGAATATTTTGACCGAAGAGAGATGAATTGACAGGAGGTTGGAGAGAACTGCATAAAGAGGAGCTTCATAACTTGTACTCTTCTCCAAGTTTAATTAGAATGATCAAGTCAAGGAGGATGAGATGGTATGGACATGTAACACGAATGGGGGATAAGAGGAATGCATATAGGATATTGGTGGAAAAGCCAAAAGGGAAGAGACCAATTGGATGACTAAAAAGTGGGTGGGTGGACAATATTAAAATGGATCTTAGAGGTACGCGGTAGCGTAGGTGGTTGAGGCACTGTGCTACAAACCGGAAGGTCTCGGGTTCGAGTCCAGATGAGGACATTGGATTTTTTTTTTCAATTGACCTAATCCTTCCAGCCGCACTATGGCCCTCGGGTCGACTCAGCCTCTAACAGAAATGAGTACCAGGAATATTTTTGGAATATTTTGGGGGGTAAAGGGCGGCTGGCGCGTAGGGCTGACAACCTTGTCGCCATCTATGGACCGATTGTCTAGAAACTGTAGGAACCTCAACATCTCACAACTCTATGGGCCTCCATGACCTGTTCAGGGATACATTTATTTTACTTTAGCATAATTTGTATTTTAGAATGCCAGAAGAATCGAATAGTTTTTCAAATTCCACATTCCGAGATTGATTACTCATAAATGATCGTTAATTATGCCCCCATGTTCATCTTTAAAGGAAGAACGGCATAAAATGTCAATTTTATTTAACAAGAAATCCATCAAGACTTAGCAATAGTCAGAACTTAGGAATTTGTTGCATTGTGCTTTATTGTTTTATAATAATTCACAGTCCACGCTTCCTAAAACAGACATTTATAAACGCTTGATTAAAGAGTTTATTCTGCTTTATTTAACGATGATTTTTAACTCAATTAATATTCGCCCTCCACGTTATAAAATTAAAATGCTGCATTGATGGTCAGCTTAACAAATAGTTTTGTAATTTAATTAAATGAATAAATATATTGTATTTTATTTATGGAATTAGAATTTTACTGAAAGTCAGAGAGTTTTATGTATTTCATTGCATGAGATCAGATTTTCACTGCGGTAAGCATTAATATTCTTGACTTCTGAAATGTGATGTCGAATAATTTTTAAGGGAGTGAGGTTTCCAAGGAACTTACTGCCACTATAGTCGGCCTAGACGAAGGAAGCGTCGGATTCCTCTGAAACATCCATACCTCCCTAGCAGACTACACAAAATTACTTTCCAGAAGACTGTAATCTTAATAATTCATTACGTTTTAGCTGTTAAGATGACTGAAATTAATCAGGTGTGACGGGTTGGGTGTTTACGTTTTTGTCTCATTAAAATAAATTAATAAATTGTGTGTATAACAACGCGATTACAACCCCTACTTCGTATTCTTCAGATATTGTGGCTGATTCTCGACCATGGGGCCGGTTATTCTGAGCATCTTCATAATTTCCCTCAACTCATCAAAGCAAATGGTGAAATAATAGATTAAGTTACATAATCTGCCTACCTGGCGTAGCATCAGTAAACAAGAACTAATCGCCTACTTTCCTAGAGTACAGCACGGACTGCATAGAGAATGAAAAATAAAATGGGGGACACACAGACAGAAATGTGGCCTCCTAACAAAAATTATGGGGGGGGGGAAGCAGACAGATACACAGGGAGCAAGGTGATCTAACAAGTGTTCTTTTCTTTTTCTAAAAAAGTTAAATAGGTTAATATATATATACATACATACATAACAGACTCGGTGTATCTGTGTGTGTGTGTGTTTGCGAGTGAGAGAGAGATTTCAAGGTTTCATGATGGCGAACATGAAGATTATTTTGTTCTGGGATGAAACACCGTGTAATGTGGTAGGAATTTTCTTTATAAACTTTGGTACATTTCCGCCATTTCCGTCGTCATATTCCAAAAGACGGTTAAACTCAGACAGGTTATATTTTTGAAAGGCCCTAGTTTATATAATTCCCATCCATAATCTGAAAGTGAAAAATTGATTTCGTCCACGTATTTTAAAGGAGAGATCACAAGTCTAGAGACTTCCACCCTCGAAATATCTGAGATGAAATAAAAATAAATTTCTTTTGGAAAAAATATCAATTACAAATAAACTTTTTGATTAAGTGACCTTGAGTCATTGAATAATCCCGTGTGGTGTTATGATGGGCTGAACTTAATGAGAAGGTCGATAGAAATAAGTGGCTGGATTCTAATGAAGAGATGGTAGCTTATGATTTAGGAGCAGGGATGGGCCAATATGATAATCACCACGAAGCTGAGGTTAATGATGTTAATAGGTGATATAACTCAGACGTTAATTCATTAATGCAATTTTCGGATCTGATTTCCGAATTACTTCCTACAGACAGAACTTTGGCAGACATGTTGTGCATAAATACTAAGAATATTAATCGGAAGTGGAGTAAAGAAATACACAAAAGTGCAGTGTAGGTCGGTTTGAATGTAATTTAATGATACTTATCAACCGCAGAGGCTATTATATTTAGAGATAAATAAATTAAATAAATAAAAATTATTTATTTAATGACGACATTTCAGTTGTAAAGTTATATAGCGTCGAATGGTTGGATGATTATTACTATGAATAAATATAGGAGCCGGGATAGCGCAGTCGGTATAGCGACAGAAGGGTCGGAGTTCGGGTCCCGGTAGGGTCAAGAATTTTTATCTTCTCTACATTGTCCAGACCGGCTCTGAGCTCTACCCAACCTCCTATCCAATGAGTACCAGGTGCTCTTTCCCCGGAGGTAAAGCAGCAGGGGCGTGAAGCTGACCACTCACCTGCAACTAGGGCTGAGGTCAAGAAACTGTGGATGTATACATTCACTCCCCCATACGCCTTCACGCCGTAGTGTTTCATTAGTTAAGCACACGTATACCTTTACTTACTTACGATACATATGTAAAAGACTGAGGAAGAAAGCGGTCGTGTAATATCTTCAGATCCAAAAAATTCCTTGAAATTCTTCGAGGAAGACCACGAGAAACCTCCGTCAGGATAATCAGGCTTAGGTCCAAGATTTCGAATCTTTGACCTCCGCAATATAAAAGAGCAGGAGTGTTCTGTATAGTGACCTAAATAAAGTGGAGAAAGAAGCGGTTCATGATTTGGGTCTGTATAAAATATGAATTTTTCTGAAGGTAACAATGAAAGCCACATAAAACCTTATCCAGAATTTCGGGTCCCCAGACTTGAACAAAGTACCTCTCGAATATAAATCAAGAGCATTCGCGAGGAACGGACAGGCTATGATATAACCTGCAGAACTTAACGTCATAATTCATGATTTCATTTCCTTTCAATTACCCCACTTCCGGTTTGGTTTATCTGGTTACTGACCGGGCAGCACAAGCAGCCAGAAGAAGAAGAGCGAAACAGGGACGAGGCCTACAGGCACTAGGGCTCGCATCACCCGGTTCATGTTGGCCTGCAGCAGCTGACTGGGGACGGGGCGGTAGCCTCTTCGGTTAGCTGCAAGGTGTGACTGGAAGTCCTCCCAAGAAGCCGACCCTCTCTGGCACCATATCGCGGCAACAGAGAGACCGGTTCACAGTTTGTCAGTGCCTATTCTGGAAGTATATTTCACAACACTCTGCTCCTGCAGTCTCCATTGCTACATGTACCCCGACTTCACCAGTGACATCACTAGATTTCCCCGCACTATAAGACAGAATTTAATGTAACATTTCAGGATTATTTTATGCGCACATTCCTTCACTCGCCTTAATTATAATTATGTACTTGTAGTGAAAAAATTGAAATAAATACCGACGATCACTGAAAATCTTACTGTTACAAATATATTTGTTTCAAGAATTCATGTCGTAGAAAAAAGAACGGAGTAGTATTCGTGATAAATTCCTATACATCTGCAAATTACGTATAATCTACTTCCTATGTCCACATCACTTTGACCTCTTTGACCCCACTTCATGATGTATTGTTGTCAGTTCCCCTTTCTTGATATTCCTGATGATTCCTTTAAACTCCTGCCGCTGCTGCTGATGGATTTCCTCACGTAGACCGCTGCATTTTTGCTGATGATTTGACCACTGGTGGCATAGCAGGTCCATCGACGCGAAGTTGTAGTACTTCTGCTGCTGATCCCCGACATGTGGACCATCACTACGGTCGCAACCCCCTTTACCAAGACAGCAGAAGTTTGTGACACCAACAAAACCCGGAGATTCAAACATTCACGAGAGCAAGTGACACTCGAGGCTTCGTAAAGAGAAGCGCAACTCTGACTGCATATGATCTATGTTCGCTTTTCACGTGTCTGTACCATAACGCAGTCTTTGTTTTACAAGACCACTCCCTGCTTCATTTCATCCGATGCAACTGGCGTCCATGAAACTGCGTTTCCATGTGCATCACTTGCCGTGATGGCGGAGACTTCCCACCTCGTTAGCAACATCAAGTAGCATGAACGGTATACACGCACAATGGGGTTAGAACGTCAGCCTTGCTCGCGCCCGCCTCCCGCCCGACCGGGTCCACAGTTAATAATGCACAGACGCGCAGCAACCAACCAATCCCATCGAACGTATCTTCGGGGTTAGACACTCGAAGCCCGGTACCGCCTGAGCTCCGTATATCGACCAAAAGAAGGGTTGGTTCGCTCAGTGTTGTGTATTACCCGTACTCAAGACATTCAGCCAGGCACCAATACTTCGCTTATTTAACAACGCTTTTCAAATGCTAATGATGCTGGATACGGAGGGATCAGAAGAAGGCTGTGGAAGATTTTTCTAAAATATTATCTCATCATTTGTCTGAAATATCTGAGGTCTGAACTGTAAAGGATACATTTGAAATAGATTATAAAGAAAAGGAGTGTGAGGACGTGAACAGGACTGATCTTACCCTAGACAGGTTCCACAGATGGACTCTTGTAAAGGCGGTAATGAACCATCGGTTTCCATAAAAGCGGTGAATTCCATGATTAGCTGAGCGACTATTAGCTACAAGGAGTTAGCTGGTTAGTTCGGGAAGAGCTACATAAGTTACTTTGCACAAACGTAAGAATCTGTATTAGCAATGAATTCGGAAAGCGTGGGAAAATGAACGATTATTCAGAGGAACGTGGGGGATTTATTTCTGGTAATTGAACAATGCTTTATCATCTTCAAATACTATATAATGCACAGGAGTGGAATCTTTGTGAACGGTCAATTGGAAAGCATTTGCAAACTGCCATGACGTCTTTTAATGTACTATTTTAAAAATTAACCAGAGAGATGTGGAGAAACGCGGACAAAGATTCGAAATCATATCCTCCAGAACACAGAGTAATAGCCTTAACCACTGTCAGAATCTTACTGAAACTTGGAGCCTGGATATGTATAGTTTTTAATGACTGGGTTAGGGTCGACGCACCTGAATTTTCACTGTAAATCGAAAGAGAGATTTAGAATTTAAATTATGCTTAACACCATAGTGGCGTTTCTTTCCACACCAAACATAATTATTCTAAGCCATGACACACAGTCTTCTGGAATTAGGTAGTGAACTTTCGTCCAAACCTGTTACAGTGATCATATTGGGTTATTTAGAATTTGGTAGTGACAATTTCATAGCAGATAAATAATTGCATTGTGACAAGTAGACCCATTGTTAGGTAATGAGTCGTCAAACACGTTTCCATGACAAAAGCGCCCAACAATAGAAGGACATCCATTGCTAGACAACGGATCAATAAAGACGCATTTTTGACAAGAGAAGACGGTGTTTTCCGTGAGATCCGTGTCGAGGAGTTATAAGAGTGCAGTCAGAAGATTGTGTGTACAGCTGAATAGTGGAATAGAGAAATGTCGCCAGAAGTCTAGAGTGTCCAGTAGGAGAATATGACTGTCAGATAGTGATTTGTGAACTGTTGTCGCCATTTGTATAAAGGTCCAATAAATTCGATCATCAAATCCAAAATCTGGCTTATTAGTCACGCACAACCCGGATACGTGACAATATTAACGTGATTTGGTTATCGGAGATTCGTTTGCGAAAACAAAGTAGATTATATTTGTGGTAGACAGGATTTTTGCACATCTTAACTCTTTGAAGCTTGGCATTCTTCTAAACAATATATAAAGACTGAGACCCTACCTTACAGAAAACACACTGGACTTACGTTAAAAAGACCGATCTGTAAATGATATTTAAATGATATTTAAACTACCATAACACTGTGAGCCGTAGGAGGCGACGAAAAGGGAGCCCATTGCCTGGGTTCATAACTGGGCCACCTCGTTCCTGAGGTATACAAATACTGAGACCTGGCTTTCCAGGTTGGAGGAGTCTCAAATCTGAGACTATAAAATATGGTTAGGAGTCACGCAGGAGTGGGACCTAGGAATGACTGCGCTGACGAGGACTGACAGCAATTGTAAACTACAGACCCATCCTCTAGTCAGAGAGAATGTTACATAAGCATTCTGAAAGCAAGTATTCAGTTAAAAAAAGTTGCTGGTCGTGAGTCTCAAGGGGTTTGTTGGCCAAGACGAAATGATTGGCGTTAAACCGCCAGTCGTAAAGTAATTCTGAGTGTGACTCCGATATTTACAGAAGTAACTGCTGTTACTGTGAAGATTATACAACACACGTAAGAATATTATGTGGGAGAAATGAATAGTTTTTAATAGTAAAGCAGTTAGTGCATCCAGTAACTACTGTGCAGTAGACGGTTAAGCGTCGAATTTGTTTTGAAGCTTTATATAGGACGAATGGAGCTTGTGATAATGTTTCTGCAGCCTATCTGAACTGTAGAATTTAAGGGAAATAGGAGCTTTTATACAGAGACGGGGTGGGCTAGATTTACATGGCGAGATCGGTAAGCCTTTCTCTGCTGAAAGTAGAGCAGCAATGAAGGGCGGGGCGGGGGCGGAGGGCAGGGTGCGACAGCAGTTGGTAGTACTTGGTCGACGGGAGGGGAGGGTTAGCTGTGTTCTTTATTCTTCTTCTTTTTGTTGGCTTGATGGCAGATCACACCCACAAAATGCAGAGATAAGAGACTAAGTAGCTGATGTGATGATATGTAAGAGGTAACCGTAAGTACTAGGTTTACACCGGCTTGTAGTTGTTGACTACGACGTTTAGCACTGTGATATGAGGAGCATTTTATGTGAGTGTAGTGCTCGGCTTCTCTATCTGTGCGAAGAATACAGATTGATGAACTTGGAGAAGAAAGTATTGAATAGAATTCTGGACCTGACAAGGAAATAGTAAGACGTTAAGAAATTACGCAAAATAGATTCAAGAGGAAAACTGACACTGTGACTGTGACTAACCCGTAATCTCAGAAATTAAAATATAAAAACATAATCTTTTCTCAGGGTACATTAAGGAAAAATATTTCGTCCGCCCTCAATTAATGTATAAACTGAAGAATTAAAAGTATGTCAACTTATAATTTTCTTTCTGGTTTCATATGGGTGGGAAAAAGAAGAGCTCAGTCTTTATAGCGAGGGATTACGGATTAGAGAACCGGAGTTCGACTCCGGACAGATGCAAGATATTTTTCTCTACTTTAGACCGTCCAGACCGAACCTAAGCCTACACTTCCCATCAAACCAGGAGTGGGGTCTCTTTCCCGAAGAGTAAAGTGGTTGGGATGTGAAACTGACCAGTCATCTAGTGCCGAGGTCGAGAGTGTTGGAGCTATACCTCCACTCCCCCATATATCTTCATTGTATTTCAATAATGAAACTTAGGGATAACTTTACCTTTTACTTTCATATGGGTATGCAATTTTACCCCTCATTCAGATGAAGAAAACAGATTGAGGATGCTGGAGAACAAAGTTCTCTCAAGAATATTTTGGTGTTTCGGAGATAACAGTGCAGAATTATTACATAATGAGGACTACTGTAATTTGTACCCTTCGTCTTGTCCCCATCTTGTAAGCTTCAGTGCTCTTTGGTCCGTTCCAATTCAGAATTAGCTTCTGAAATCATGAATCTGTCAGGTTAAGCTCAGACATAAACCCAGCTGGACTGCAACCCACACTCGCAGAGTTTGGGCTTTCTTAGAGAGTGTGCTCTTTAGACTGCGAAACGGTCTTCTCAGTAAACCTCTTCATGTTGTTTGAAGGGCGACATGAGAGACACAGGAAGTGTAGACAGAACGCCGCGCTTGTGCTCAGTATTCCGGAAGTTGCAGTTTCAAATTTCGTTTTCGAGAAGGACTATCCTGTCTAAGGATTGTCGTTTCCTCATGTTCTCCAGACATTAACCTAAGCCAGGACAAACACGTCTTCTTCCACATTCTTTCTAATTCATTATTCACTTACGATCCTTAATGCGGCGTTATAAATTCTTAACTATCGAAAGCGTCTATAAATAAACAGCAAGCATGAAAATGTGGTGCAACAGGATTAAGGTGAGCAGAACATGTAGCATGCGTGGATGCTAAATTTTTCAGAATAAAGAATAAGCTGGCAAACCTAGACGTAATTGAAGAAACCAAAAAAAAAAAAAAATCAACCTGAAATCTCACATTAAAACATTTTTTTTAGAAATAAGATGTGATGTGAACTGTATTGAAGTGGCCCCTGACAAGTTATAATTTCGATCACGGCCGCGAACTTTCGTGTTTCAAATGCCATCTACAATATGAAGTTGGATATTGGATATATTGATAAGGATATAACGTTGATAACGGTAATTGTTATGTTAATCAATATTTTGTCGTTTCTTGGAACGCTTTGTATTGGGCGTTACTTTTGCCATTTCATATTTGGCTATATCTAGGAATTGTTTCCAGTGACATTCGGGGAACCAGTCTAACCTTTGTGTGAACCGTTTTCAAATCTATAGCTTTAACTTCCCTTAGGGACCTCAATTTCAAGGAAACATTCCTCTAACCAGGAAAGCGAGAGTGCTTACTTCTAAAAAAAAAAAATTGCTAAAGTTTGTTTCTACAAGGAAAAACTAAGGCATAAACTACATAATTAAGTAGCATTTTGAAATAGAACATACCTGATTTCATTGGATGATCCTTCATGTTGTTACGAAAGATAAAAGGAAAGCTACCAGCAACTGAAACTAGATTACAAGCAAACGTGCCCCCAATTTATACTATTACGGCGATTTCGTAGGGAAAACCCCTATATAAACAAAATTCCTCTAAAAACTGAAACTGTTAAACCCTTTGAAGTACAATTGTTGTTACCGGTTCCACTTACTTTAACCTTTAAGAGATGAAGTACGCCGTATAGGATATTTAAAGTGCAGTCGTCGTGGCCGAAGTGCGCCATATGGGACGTGTAGTCCACAGTGTTTTGAAAAACTAATTGTTAGATAAAAATCTTTGTTTTACTTCCATTGTTTTCCGGCATCAGCTTGATAAGTAAACAGGCTTCACTCCTGCATCATCTAACTGAAACTAGCCTTTGTGTGGTACTCCTGAAACACCCGAAAATGCAGTTTCCAAAGTCGC